AATTGAATCTTCATTATCAAAAGAAAAAAAAAAGGAAAAAAGCATAAACATTTTAATTTTATAATATTATATTACAACTTAAGCATATAAAACTAGAATATAAATTAAGTATATGAGTCAGATATACAAGTTAAGTATATGGGTCGGGTATACAGGTCAGGTATGTGGGTATTGACTCTCATACCCAATACTTATCTGATACTTAACATGTATATATTTTTTATACGCAGTACTTACTTATCTCTTTATAAATACAAGTAAAATATTTATTTAAAAAAATCAAGTACCCACAAATATAAGATATACCTGTCTCTGATGCTCAGCCTCACTTACACCCACTCTCGGTTCAATTGAGGCCGACTATCGAGTAACAAGCGCGTTCAAAGTTCAAACCCAACATCAGAATCCCTAGGTGTGGTTTTTTCTTTTTTTGGGTAGAGATCGGTAGGTGTGCATTTGTGTGTCTTTTATTATTTGCATTTGCATTCTATACGTTGTTTTGATAATTACGATTTATTTAACCCTTTTCTCATCTCAGTCTCAATGACCAAGAGGATTAAAAATAAAAATAAAAACTACTTTTTTAGTTGTTGCCACTCTGGAAGATTGGGTTGGGGCGGTGTCTTAACAGTTAAGACCGTAGCCCTTCTCTTTTTCCTTAACACTCAAATGCTCTCAACTTTCTCAATTGGAATCCTCAAAGTCTGTTTCTTTTCTTACTTTATTTTATTTTATCTTTTTAAAGCCAAATAGATCTGTATGTTCAAAAGATGGAATATGAATATGATAATTCGACATGAAAAAATCAAGTTAATCTTTTACATTAATTTTCTTTTATTATTCGGTAATGTAAATTTCTCTTTATTTTCTATTATCTTCTATATATTTTTTGGTGCTACTACTAATGGTTTTATTTTTTATTTTCAAGGTTGATTATTTTGGTAAACAATGGGGCAGCATTTTAGAGGTAATTTCATACTTATATTTTTATTTTTTCCATATATTATGTTAATTTATTTTCATGCTTTAACTTATTTGATTAAATTTGTGGTTATATATATATATGAATTTGATTTATTTTTATATTAATGTTGGATTTCTTTTGCAAATGTCAAGTATTTTTGAGTTATTTTTATTTCCTTATATATATGGAAATGTAAAC